GCAATGGCGCACTCGTAAATGCATTAGCCGTCGGAACCTATAGTTTATCTCTACCGAGTGGTCTTGTATTGCAGTTAAATAATTGTCTGTTTGTACCTAGTATGAGCAGAAACATCATTTCTGTATCCTGCCTTGACAAAGCAGGATTTTCGTTCGTTGTAAAAGACAAAACTCTTTCTGTCTTTAGAAATGATATATTTTATGCAAGTGCAAAAATGACCAACGGTCTCTATGTCCTCGACATGGATACCGCAGTATATAACGTTGATGTTAAGAGAAACAAACCTAACAGTTTGAATCTCGCGTACCTTTGGCATTGTCGTTTGGGCCACATTAACGAGAAACGCATATCTAAGTTACATCGTTCCGGTGTACTTGATTCATTTGACTTCCAGTCATATGATGTATGTAAATCTTGTTTACTTGGTAAAATGACAACGGCTCCATTCACCGGTCACGGTGAAAGGGCGAGTGACTTATTGGGCCTCATACACTCTGATGTTTGTGGTCCAATTAACACTGTAGCTAGAGGTGGTTATTCTTACTTCGTTACATTTATTGACGACCTTAGTAGATATGGATATGTGTATCTCATGAAACACAAATCGGAATGCTTTGACAAATTTAAAGAATTCAAGAAAGAAGTAGAAAAACAATTAGGCAAAAGTATTAAGACCCTCCGCTCGGATCGAGGAGGTGAATGCTTAAGCCTGGAGTTCGATGACTATCTGAAAGAGCATGGGATCTTATCCCAACTCACTCCTCTGGGGACACCTCAGTTAAATGGAGTGTCTGAGAGGAGAAATCGGACTTTGCTAGACATGGTCCGGAGCATGATTAGTCTGACAACATTGCCAGAATCATTTTAGGGATATGCATTGAAAACAGCTGCACACACACTCAACAGAGTTCCATCTAAAGCTGTCGAGAGCACACCATACGAACTATGGCGTGGGAGAAAACCGAGTTTCTCGTACTTTAAGATTTGGGGCTGTGAAGCTTATGTAAAACGTCTCATGACGTCTAGTAAGTTGGAGCCTAAATCTGATAAAGTAATTTTTGTGGGATACCCCAAGGAAACTAGAGGGTATGAGTTCTATCATCCATCCGATAACAAAAT